ACACACACACACACACACACACACACACACACACACACACACACACACACACAGAGAGAGAGAGAGAGAGAGAGAAGAGCAGGAGCAGGAAAACCCAGAGCCAGAATCCAGAGTCTTAGGAGAAAGCCAGCCTCCTGGACTTGGTCAGGAGAGAGACTCAAAGCTAGTAGCTCCTCAGATATGAGCAGAAACAAATGTATTTTATGGCCAATGGTTATGCATTCAAACACACCATTTTGCAGTATGAGTGCTATGAGAAGCCGATATCTTGTCATAATTCATGCTCATTGTTCCTCTAAGTAATATATATATGTTTCCCATTAGTCATTCTGTGTGAAGCTGTACTTTAAGGCAAGAGGACAGTTTTGATAATGCACATCTTAAGACTTTTCATTAAAGTCGCAAATTTAAATTCTACCTTTTTGTGCACTCTGACATTTTTTGTCTGGCATTTTCATTAATTTTGCGACATACATAAATGTAGCTGAAATGTTAACTGATCAATACTTTGTCTCTCTTGTGGAGCACCAGGGGTTCATTCCCCAGGGACCACACAGCCGAACAGAAATTAAATGTGTAAAATATCAAATGTTAATGTTAAACACAGCCGCACTTACTCTATAACGACAGAAAAGGCTAAAACAATTCCAAATGGACAGATGGTACCACAAATTATCTACAATCACATTTAAAGATGAAAGTTTGTCCTGTAAAATAATTCTCTGATGCACACTGAAGTGTGTCCTTTTACTGATAGCTCAGTTTTCCAATTATTTTTGTGCTCATTACAGTGAGAAATGACAGTACTGAAAGGAACGAATATATCTCTCTTTTCAACCTCCCTCCTCTCTCTTTCCCTCCCTCTGTCCCTCCGTCCCTCCTTCCCTCCGTCCCTCCCTCTCTCCTTCCTTTTCTTTTTTTCCCTTTTGCACTCACTGACTTCTACAAGAACACAAATGTCTGCTCAAGAGCCTGTTGAAAATTAGTTCAACTTACGAGATATTTCTAGGTTGACTATAGCTGATTCCTAAGTTTAAGCATCATACATAACAGTGCTGTCTTAAAAAATAATATTCACCAGAAAATTTAAAACCCTAAGTCATAGCACTCAGAAACAAGGCTGTTCCCAGAAGCCTGTGTGCTTTCCTTTTGCCATCCCTTCTCCACAGATTTCATCTCTGTTGCCTGCAACAGCAGCAACACAGCTGGGGGCTGTGGCTGTGGCCTGAATTTGTACATTCATTGACACTGAGATGTAAAATATGATTGTTTTCTTCCATTTGACCCACTGGTCTGCTGTTGTTTGTTTGTTTGTTTGTTTGTTTATTGGCAAGTTGAATTAGAGGAAAAGACCAAAATGTAATAGGAAAAAAATTATTTAAACATTAAAAAGCTTCCTGATTTGGGCCTAAAACTAAGGTACTTAATGATACAAATCCATGCCCTCGACAAGGCAGTGGCAGTTAAGAAAAATTGGGCCAAATGGAACCAAAATTATAACAATAGAGCCATGAGCTTTCAACAGGGCATGATGGGAACAATATATCTGTAACAATGGGCCTGCTTATGCTCATCTAATGGAAATCAGTTCTTTTCAACCAATTGTTCCAACAAGGCTCTGCTTATGCAATGGCAACTTTGAAACATCTTGTTTTTAAATACTCATTTACTCTCTATAATGTGACTAAAAATCTTTCGCAAGGTATTTTTCTGAATTATGTTACAATTGTAAGATATATATTTTAAAGTCTTTTATAGAAAAGAATATCTACCACGCTGCATAAGGCAAGGTACTTCTATGTGCCTCAGTTTCTTTATCTACATACTAGGAGAATGAGAGAATCTACATTATGGAGTTGTTGAAAACATTAAATTCTTAGTGAAAGAGGATTTTTATGGTGGCACATAAAGAGTACTTGATAAATATTATGTTTTATTCATATGAATTTTTAATATCACAATTCAATCTATGCTTAAGTAGATTATTGGTAAGAGAAGTAATTGATAACAGAGTTTTGGGTTCTTAAAGAAATTATAGGGAAATTGCTTTGATGGTATTAACATGCTCTTATCATGATTTAATAATCAGATTTATTATAGCAAACCCTTATTTATTTGGGGTTTCTCCACGCAAGAAAAATATTCAGCTTGGCGGCCTCACTGAAAAGTTTTAGTTGGCCATTTATATTGGAAGCTCCCTAACTGCTTCACAGCCTTCAGGTGACAGGATGACCCAGGAACGCAGCCCGTTCTCGTCCCTGGGGTTGCCCAATTGGAGTCTATGCAAAGGAAGGGTGGTTTCCTGATTCATTACTTCAATCACATTCAATAAAGTATAATTACTTTTTCTTTTTCCCCATACATTGGTTAATATTGTTTCTTCACATTTTGTCACGTGCTTCCATGCCTCCTCCTTAGCGTCAGCTGTCTTCTACCTTGAGTATCCTACTGTGTTTTCTGGGCAAACCTCCTGCATTTGGCTTGTGTTTTCTAGGACTGAATCTGCTACAAACTGGTTACTGGCCAAGGCAGACACTGCATTTTCTGCACCGTGTTGTTTCCTTCTTGTGTGATCACTGGGAGTAAGGTTACATTCAGGTGCCTGTTTCTCAGAGCTTCAGTAACTTCTTTTTTAAGAAGCAAAACAAGATTGTGAAAAACGACTGCCATATTTAATTAATTTTACAAGTGACCTTTGGAATCTAGAAAAAGTTTATGAAGACTCAGAAAACATGCTGTTATGAACAATCCACATGTCCCTGATTAAATTATATAATTGTATACATTTTGTGTTTTTAAATTTCACAAACACCCATGGAGAGTGGAGTTAAAGATAGTCAATCAAAAATAGCAGCAGGCATTTTCAATAAAGTTTTACTGTTATTATAAGGCACACAGGACCTGAAAGTAATGATTTAAAGTATATGTAGAAATTCTCTATCATTTTACTTAAAACCATAATGCCTCTGTGCTAATGGACAATTAGAAGACCCCAATATGTCTATTATGTGAGCAATATTGCAAGAATACAGAGAAGGGTTTTTTTGTTTTGTTTTGTCTTTTTGCTTTTTTTTTTTTTAAAACAATGGTGACGGTAGTCACTTTCTTTCAGGAGATAACAAAGTGTCTCTAGGAAGCAGGCTGCTAAACTTCCTGGTAACTTACAGCACAAAGGGACATATTCAGTCTTTGTTCCTGCGCGTACATCAGTGAGAGTTCCATGCCCGGCTGAGGAGGGAGAGCTCAAGAACTGAAAGCACACATTCATCTGAACGGCATCACCAAAACCTGATTGTTCCTATAAGTAAGGCCTTCCTGTAAGCCCTCATACTCATGTCATATTTTACAAAACTGGCAGCTAAAGGAAACAGAATGCGCTTATTTCCTAACAATCACAAAATAAAATAAAGAACTTCAGAAGATGGACTTCACTGAACAAGCAGCAACAGCATGATGGTCCTGGCCAGCCTGAGAGGAAGAAGCCTTTTTAGATTTTTCTGCCACTGCCAGCTGGTCTTGCCATCAGTTCTTATAAAATAATCAGTGTAAAAGAGTATGGGATGAACCTTGTAAGGAGACTATTTGGGTCGATTACATTATCACTATAACCTTTTAAAAACTAGAAACCAAGAAACTTCTCTTAAGTAGGTCACATCCATTTCTGCTTGACTCACATAGTAAAGTCTTAGCAGCCAGCATTCCACCGCCAGAGATGGTCCTATTTTGACAAAATACTTACAGAATGAATAAAGCCACAATGAGGATGGTCATGGCTGTTCCCACTATCATTATTTTACACAGAGAACTTTTTTGGCTCCCCTATTGGGATCTAGAATTGTACAATATGCAACATTTTACTTTATAAGTGTCAGAGAAAATTATAGTTTGGCTGAGATGTCTTGTGTTCCGGAAATCTGAGGAATATATTCTTGGATTCAGACCTTGAACAATCCATCAGGTTCCTGCCCACAGCAAATCTGTCCAGTCAAGTCTCAAAATAGGAGTTTTTAAATGGCTCTATCAACATAACTGTTACTATAGCCACAGAGACTTGGAGCTAAGATTACTGAATCTGATGAATAACAATGGACAAGTAATACAGTATGATCATACCACAAAAGCAGCAAGACTCCTTGGGGGCGAATCCCAATCAAAGCAACTATTAACGTAGTATGCAGCATTTACAAGCACCATGACACAACGTTTTGTTCTGATAAAGTTTCTTAGAAGCAGCTGTAAAGAAAATGAAAAGAATATTAGAATTTATAAGACAGAAAATGATCAAATATACTGTATGGTTCTTCAAGCTCATGGAGATTTAGAAAGGATCCAGAAAGAAAATAAGGTCACAGAGACCTACCAAGCTATTTAGCTCACCAGTTAAAGAAAACAAAGTGTCAATAGAAAGCGAGGAAAGAACTAAAAGGGAATACAAAATTTTGTAGCTAAATATATATTGAAAAATAGTGTTTTCAAATAAGCTGGTATGTTTGCTCATAAGACAAAAATCTTCTATTTGCAAAATGCAGATTTTTTATTGGATATTCTACTTATTTACATTTAAGGTGTTATCCCCTTTCCCCATTCCAAAATGCAGATCTTTATTCATTTTTGAACGCTTTGCTTTAAAGACATTTATATTTCAAGATGTTTTAAAGGGAACTGGATACCTTAGAATGTTTTGATTTAATCTTAGGGAAATGCTTGCTTATGTTGCTTATTATAGAAAACACCATGATTTTTTTTTTTTTTTTTTTTTTTTTTTACCATTTAGTAGGATTGCTCTTGTCTGAGAATCACCCCTGCCTACACATTAAATATACCCTGTATTTTTTCATTAATTTCCTATGATTTTAGACTTAGAAAACTTTGATAGTAACCAAGTATGTTGGAAAAATCTCTTATTAGAGAAAGTCTGTATAATAACTGATGAAATTTAAAACAACAGAAACTATAGTATGACTTCAACAGTAAAAAGAATGTTCACAAACTTGATAATGATTTCATAAAATTACATACAGAAACACATAATCAAACTAATCCTATGTCTGCAAATTAATATATTCCTATCCTAAATAAATTTCAGTATCAATCTGGTACTTTAAAGAAACAGCCATGTGACATTAACTGAGTTCAAATGGCAATATATTTTTACACAAGTGTAAAATATATGTGTAAAACTACATGCATGTGTGTGCAAGGCAGTTCTAGCACATTTCTAACACTGAAATTCTGCTTGGGCAGAGTTTGCTTGTTGAGTTCCCTTCTCGGTTTCTAGTACTCTTCTAAGGAACAATTTTCATTATCTTTATCTATAACTATAGAGAAATATAATGTTGTTTTACATTTATATAGACATTACATTTGTAACACACATTGTTTAACACCAAAAGTCTCATTTTGTGGCAAATTTATTAGATTAAAAATAAAAATATTTAAAGTTTCTTGTAGCACAGAAAATTACCAAATATTTCATAGTAAATGTAAGATTAGTAACATTATAGCCATAATAAAACCTTTTTATTTTAGCTCTGTAAAGTGTATTAAACATTTTTTTAAAAAGGGGTATGTATCACTTTTTTCAACTTGATATTAAAGTAAATTTAAGGTTACTATTAATAAATACCAAGCTTACATTATAACAGCTTCATAAAAGAAATATGAGAGTTCCTAATTTTTCTATTAGTAGAAAATGTCAATGAAACTTCACTCCTAGTTGATTGTTGTTAAAATCTAATTAAAAGATGGCCCCTCACTGAATTAGAGGGAAGTGCTTTACTTGCTCAGCACACCTGCATCTTACCGGTGGGTGGTCTGTGTGCATATCTGAACCTCCGGCTTTGGCAGTCTCAGTCACACACTCCATGACAATCAAATTGTAGTTTATGTGCCAAATGACCATTCCCTGGCTAATGTGTAAGTACATGTCCATCAGATGCTGGACTTACCGTATTCCTTGTCCTTTCTCACCACCCCCAGTTAATGTATTATTTTGGTCTTTTTAAGAAAAGTAGAGAGAAAAAAAAGAATAATAATAATTTTTAAAAAGCCATTTTCATTGTGTAGATAATGAAAATTTCCACGGACATTCCCCACTCCAGATGTCCAAGGTTTATTTGAATTTACTTCGATGTTTTACAGACACAATCAGTTCTTCCCAGAGGGATTGATTTTTCTTTGTTTTTTTTTACCTGTTTAGAGAGTCTGTTTTCCTCTTCAATGTACTTCCGTTCTTTGGGAATTAATGTTCGTAAGCTGGCTTTCACCTACGCATCAACACATGTATCTGTTATGGGTTCATATATTACAACTGTTTACAAGTTTTGCGTGCAGTTCAATTTGCAGTAATTTCTAAAGTTTCAAAGTCCTGGCTGCTGTGCTCATAAAATATAAATGTATACAGTTGCATATGCATGCGCATCCCTCTCTCTAGCAGGCAGGCAAGCAGCAGCCAAGCATACGGCGGCGGCAGCAACAGCAGCAGCAGCAGGTCCCACTCTAACAGAAAGTGTGGGTGTGCCAGGCAGTGCCAGAAGCATATTCTCCAGGATACATCAAGGTTTAGAGAAAATGAGGAATGACAGAAATTCTCTACAAATCAGGAACAAAAGCTTTCATGAAACTGAACTCTTTAGCAGTACAAAAAAGCCAAAGTTAAGACTTACAGCATTAAAAATCACATCTATTTCAAGATAGATGACCCCCTTTGTTGGCCCTGTCAGCTGCTTGTTTTTCAAGACGTAGGCTTTCTGTTCACCATTTTGAATCTGCGGGAAAAGGACATGACAGCCGTCTGTCTCGTGGTCTCCACTGAATACACTCCCCCAGTGACCTTTGACCCCCAGCTGCTGAAACTGACAGAGAACCCAAAACAACTGTGGCAATTCTGACAAGTACCTGTTCATTACCAGGATCAAGTCTGTCAAGAAAAATTAACTATCATGGGATTCAACATGGCCGTGCATTGAGTATGTTAAAATTTTTAGTGTTCTTATTACAGACCTTGGTTGAGAAATGACAGACATAGAGCTGAGTTTTTCCCCCCTTCAGCAAAAGCAGCACAGAAGAGTGTGCCAGGTGGATAAAACTTACAGACAGCAATGGTATGGCGACTCTGCCCAGAAAGTCGGCGTTCCTATCACGGTCTTCATCATAGACAGTCACTTCGAGAACTGAATGAATGTCTTTAATGTTGCTGCATAATAAACATACCAAGGAAAATGGAGACCTCATTAGTATGAACCAAAGCTAGATCTTTGTAAAACTTGAAATAGTACCACTTGTTTTGTGTATCTTTATTTTCACGTGTATTACTTGCATACAAATAGACATGTCTCGGGCAAAGCAGAAGGTGATAGAAAGAATTTCCCATAATACATCTAAGATGACAATGCCAAGGGTCATATCATCTGGAACTTTGAAGACTATTGTAAGTTTCAGTCATATTCCTAATGACTTATCATTTTTGATCTGGATATGCAAATAATAAATTACAAGAAAAAATTGCTAAGTAGCCCTGGCAATCTTTAGGCCTTTTTGTCTCTTCTCATTACAGCAGTAAATCATGCAATCTCATAGCTTTTACATAAAACATTACAAGGGTTGATATCAGTGGGAGTCACAATAGATTTTTGAGCTGTTATTGTTTTTATAATAATATGATCTGTCTATTTTTTAAAGTTCTCAGTAATATACTTACTAAGTTTCTATTAGTTTCATAACAAAACACAGAAAACAGAATAGAGAAAATATAGCATTCATAACTATAATACTATCCTTGGATTTAAAAATGAAGTAATATTCCAGTAAATGCCAAAGATAACAATGATAATCAAAGACTCTGTGAGTTCTTCATATTTTTGTTTCAAGAAAAATAAGTGTCAATTGTTGGCAGCATTTATTTTTTGATAAAACTGTTTACCAAGAAAATATGAATTAAGAGAAAAGAAAAAGAATATATTCATTACTGAAACACCACAACCACACATGCAAAGAAGCTTTATCAGGGAACAATCAATTAATCGCTTTGATAATAATCAAACCTATTCATTCAATTATGTGTTCTAGAGAAAACACTCTGCATAGTCCTCTTAGGAGTGTCAGCCGCCTGCCTGGGCTTTCATCTCTTATAAAAATGTGGAATTCCTTAAAAATAAATTGGTCAGATAATTGAAGCTGATTAGTTACTGGCTCTTAAGCAGAGGCATTATAAGGAATTAATGAGGAATTTACCAGTTTTTCATGTACAAGACATAAAATCCGTTAAGTACTTGTGTTTGGAGAGCTTTCTTTTGTGGAATCCATTCTCTACAGTTCAACTTTAAAAAGGGACACAGAGGCTACTACAGTACAGCATCCACAGTTCTTACACCATGGAAAAGATTTACAAACTTCTTAAAACAAAAGGGAAATTAACTCAGAGGTTGTTTTGAGTTCTCAGACAGTGGTTAATATGCTTATTGTGCTGAAATGAAACACGCCCAAACTAAGCATCTGTCAAATTCCCGACTCAATTGTTTGCTGATTTCAGAGATGAAACAAACTGAGCTTTGTCTTTCTGGGTGTCAATGCAATTGGGAAGATTTTCAATAGAAAGAATAAAAGGAAGAAGAAGTATGCCGATTCATTGAGCAAAACCTTAGGCCACATAAAAAGCACAGTAGAATAAGTCTAGTGAAAACACAAAAGAGGACATCCCCCCCTTTCCTAGTTTCATTCTCCAGAGGCAGGGGGTCTGAAAATCCACAATTAGCAAAGGCAGGGTAGATGTGCTGAGTCGTGAACCAGAGAATGGACACACACACGCACACACACATGTCTCAGGGTAAGCTACATTTCCATACCAGTTCTAAAATAATCACAAAGTAATAGTTACTTACAATGTGAACACTTTGTTCCACTCAGGATTGAGGTTTTTGTACACAGTGTGTGTTAGCAGCCTGTCATTGTTCAGTTCTACTACACAAAATGGATCACTTTTACCTGCAAGAGATTTGGAGTGATATAAAAACATTTAAACCACCTTCATTGATGGTAGCATGGTCACATCCATTATAATCCCAAGCTTCCCCAAAAGGCTTATAATAAACAACAAATTATAAAGCTTACAGGTTAAAAGGAATCTCATTAAAAACAGATGTAACTAGATATTAGCAATTGCTATGATTTATAGGGATTTTAGAACTTGGGACCAAAGTATATAGCTTGACTTTTGATCTTTAGTAATTTTCAACAAAAACCAATACAATGGCTATTACGAGGAAGTGTGGTATGCCCACCCTATGTGTGCATTCTTTGGGTCTATTATGACCATTTTAACTATTCAGTCAATTTAATTTTAAGTTGTACTTTTGAACTTATCTGATTTACTAATAACCCATCAAAGGGATTTTGAAAGATGTTTATTGTGAAAAAACAGCTATATTGCCAAGTGACCTCGCTTCAATCTGCCACTGGCTGAGTTACTTTCCCTTAAGATAGCTATGGGATTCATAAAAAGGTAAACTAGGGCCCATGAGGCTCGATAAGTGTGCTGTTTGGAACTTATCATCAGGAAATCTTCATGTTAAAGAATGACACTTGTTTTTCTTAATGTTCTCTCGAAATAAAGGACTTGAAAGTTATCCACTCTTCATAATTCTGCTGTGCCATATTCAGATCATGCACTCCACAGTTACATTTTGGGGTCTCTTTGTTATTTCTGTCATACTTTGTCTTGTGTTATAAGTCATAGAGTCAGTGGCTCTGAGAGTGGTGTGAACAGTGTTAGAGCAGCATGTGATGTGTTTGATACCTTATACAAATGACAGACGGGATCAATATTTACACAACGCTAGCCACAGGTCATATCTTTTAAACTACAGTATTGATTTAGACTACATAAGAGGTTAATGTGCATATTATTAACTTTAATGATAAAGAACAATTGTTTTAAATGCATTGTGAACTGAAACCACATTAGTTTACACTTGTGTGGAAGCTTAAATATCATTCAAGATTTTCAATTAATTTTTAATGGGAAAGAATTTATTAGCTACCAAGGACAGAGAAGCTGTATAGTCCTACACAGGAATATATTTATTTTTCATAGGATAATACTTAAATGAGAGATACAAGATTTAACTCACCTTTAATTTATCAATTTTATACTGAAAAAGATTTAGTGTATACGTGTTAAATCAGTAGTCTCATAATTGCACAATTTAACATTATAGTAGTTTTGTCAATTTGGCATCTTCAAGATGCTTTTCAGCAAATAATGCAGAACTGGTTTTCTTTATTGTCTGGTGAAAACTTTACTCCATGCTTTGTTTTTTGCTGCCCTGGTTTGTAGATCCTGGCTCTTATCTCCACCGCTCTCATCTCCAACTCCTGCACCATCAGAGATAGTGTTGAGAATATCTTGTTCATTAAAACACATTATAATCAGTTTCATTTGGCCCTTTAACAGCAATTTTCTTCCACACAATTCTGATGCCAGTGTACACAGGGAGCCACAAAGAACTTTTGGGAAATGTTTATATACAAACTTCTAGGCAAGATTTCCTCCAATAACAATGCCACGTCTTAGTCATCAGCAGGTTACAAACATAGGACAATTTATGTAATTTTGATTACAGATTCATACAGTTGGCAAATATTCATTCATTTGTTGTGATAAGTATTGTATTTCCTAGAGAAATAGCAATGTATAAAACAATTGGAATAACCCCTGTGCTCATGGATTTTAGACTGAGAAGAAGACTCCATTCCAGTGTGTTTCAGGTGATAAATACAGAATCTCGAGGTACTGAAGAATATGTCTTGCTGGAAAGATGACACAGAGACAAGGTAATGAAAGAGGTAATGAAGGGAGGAGCTGTGCTTGACCTAGAGGAGCGGATACTGAAGGGCAGAGAAGCAGCTGTCAACAGCATGCTACTCACTCCTACAGGAGAGGCTTTGAGCTGAGGGATGGTATGAGCTGAGACTATCTGAAGAATAAGGTAGAGCAGGCAATGGGAGCACTAAGGAGACCAGTGGGAGTCAGTCCGGTGACCCAGGTGCTAAACAGTGTTGTTTGAAAACAGGCATCATAATTTTACCAACGTCAGCACTGAACTCTCTAATATGTCTTTATATCTAATACAATATCGAATGTGGTATTATTTGCAGATGGAAAACAGTTCCCCAAATTTAGCTCATCCACATTTGATTTGGGATTGTGGGTTGAAAAGGCAGTCATTAACAAATCTTATTTCTAGTCTCGTTATATCTAGAATCTGGGAAAGGAGAAAGAAGAAAGTGTTTAAATAACTACAGCCAACTAAGGAATGTTGAGAATGGGAGGAATAGGCTTTCCCAAGGAAGAACATCCAAATTGCTTGTCAGATACCAAACAATAATATATCCAAGTAGAACTGTATAGACTGACTAGGTTGCATTTAGGTATATTTTTGTAGTATAAGGAACTAATGCAATGTCAAGTCTTGCTTGGAACACTATTAGTTTTCACTGACTTAGAAAGTTCCCTTCTAATGCTGTGTGTTCAAGGGCAAGTACAAACTACCGTCAGTTTCAATAATAGCAAAGCACAGTACCAAATTCCATCTATTCAGAATGGATAAGCAGACATTATAGTTTTACTTTTAAAGAACTAGTTACAAGCAGTGTGCTGATTTGGCTTGCTAAATGCTGCTTTAAAATGCTGGCCTTTCAGCTCCTTAACTTCTCAGGCTTGATTACTTCCACTTAAGCAAGTAGAAACAATCAGAGAAACACTAGAGATGAACCAAATCATCAATTATCTAGTAATTACTCACTTTTCATCTTTTTATCATTCTATTTTGCCTTGCAAAGCATTTCTCTGCTGGCTGGCAGTACCTGAGTATGTAGCCTCTGGGATACAGTACTGATGTAAACAATATTCTGCAAAGTGCATGTTGTTCTTCAATAACACATGGCTAGAAGTGCAAGAAATGCAGTTAGTAGCCAGTGTTGAAATGTATTTTTCCTTCTTTTCCTTAACCAAAAATCTTAATGTATAGATTATAGAATCTTTTATATACCTTTTATTCACTTTTGTCCTAAGTCCAAGGCAGACCTATGGAATACTAATAGTCTTTTTCAAAATATTAACTTCTAGTATTTTGGTGACAAAAATATTGATCACATTCCTTAGAAATGTAACAAATTGAAGACCTTGGAATTGATGAGAGACAAAAATTTCAGCAATGCTGTGTGGTAGACATGGTGCTGATTGCTTTAGCTACAGCGACAGTTAGTACAGAATCTTGCCTTCCTTGAGAATATGCAATTTCCAATGTTGACAATTTTCTAAAGAGACCTGGGAATGCCTTCTGAAGTATTCATTACTTATTGAGTGCCTGCTCTTCTCACCCCAGAATTATAAGTATGATTAAGACATAGCTGATCTCTCAAGGCATGCACAATTTAGCAGACATGATAGACACGTAAATATATAATTATCATGCAGCATTGCAGGCACTGTAATAAAGGTAAGTGAAGAGTGCAGAAGGAGCGATGAGAAGGAAGCACATGATTTTGTAATTATGGGACAGGAAGAGGAAGAGGAAGCAGTACTTTCCTAGGGGAGCAGACCTCATGATCTGTGATGATTGGGTGGGTTTACCACCAGCTTTTTAAAAGTAAAGAATCATCACAAAGTGAACTTCATGACAATTTATAATCAGGAATATGTCGTTTAAATCGATTCACATATCTTTTTAATAATGTCTCTATTACCTAAAAACCTACAAATGAATAACATAACTCATAAAGAGACACTTTAAACTAGCATGCTTGGATAGTTGTCCATAATCTAGTTAAAAGCTAAAATCCATTTCTTTTTCTATAGAATTTTAATAAGAAAAGGAATCTCCCAAGTGAATTAACACTAGGGTGTCTTTTACCCTTTATCATAAAAATAAATTGGCCAAAGACTTCAAAGTACATATTCCATTACTTTATTCTTTTTAAAATAAATCGGTTTTTTTTGTTTTTTGTTTTTTTTGTTTTTTGAGAGAGTGTTTCTCTGTGTAGCCCTGGCTGTCCTGGAACTCACTCTGTAGACCACGCTGGCCTTGAACTCAGAAACCCACCTGTCTCTGCCTCCCAAGTGCTGGGATTAAAGGCATGTGCCACCACCACCCGGCAAAATAAATACATTTTATAGCAACAACAACAAAAAAGAGAGATTAGGAATGTCTCCAGTAGGCATCTTTCCTGAGAATCTTCAAAACTACACCATGTATTAATAAAGTGACTTCAATGGCTAATTTTCACTTTTGTCCTTACTCTTAAGGGTCATAATCCCAACACACTGGTAGAGAAGTGTAGGAAAGTCTACACTGTTCAGTTGCTATCTGTTTTGTGTCACATTGTGACTTCAGTTTGTTGAAACTAGTAGTCTGAGTATTAAAGTCACCAAATGATACTGAGAGACATTCCTGCTTCCAGAGCAGGGCAGGCATTCTGATCCATCAGTGCTGGGCTTTGTCCATGGTCATTTAACTGCTGACAATGGTATAGTTTGCTAAATGTAGTGTGTCATAGAAAATGTGGGGGTGGGGAGGACACAGTGATCATCTCTTTGTAGTCATGTCTTTGAAAACAAAGAAGGCTTTTAGTAGCATGGAAAGCAATTCATACCCATGGGGAAGAGCTTTTATTTTGAGCCTACCTTGCATTTATTAAGCACTTTGGTTTAATTTTCTCAGTTGCTACATATTGCAATGACTATATTTTAATCTTAAAAATGTATAATCAAGGTTGCCATCTGTCCTTTCTGCAAACTTGAATTTCAATAATGACATGTAACAGTGTCATAGCTGAGGGAATTCCACAGGGTCTCTTAGAACAAAAAGCAACGTATGTTGAAATTTCTTCCAATCTTTTTCTTACCACTGGAGATGGAGCTTTGACCCTAGGCATTCTCATCAACTGACCTAAACATATTTTAAGCATCTGATTGGTAGAATTAC